TTAAACAATCCTATCGAAATAGAACTATGATCTCAAAACATACCGTCGGGTCATAGTCAAAAATGATAAGTGCGTGTAGCATCTATGCGAAGTAATTTAAAACGTAACGCATTTAATAAAAGGTACATTTTGAATTATTTCACATAGAAGCTACACTGTTTGCAACGCATTTAAAAGGTATAGAACAATTTACAAGCGCGCGTCTACCATTTCCAGATGAAACAAGCCCGACTGCGCTCTAGAATAAGCCCCGATCGTCACTATTGGGACGCGTGGTGCACGTGATATACGGCCAACTCGTCTACGATAATAATGTTCCGTATCAACGATACCGGGCCGCGTCGGCGGGGGCTCTCGGACGCGTCTCGTAAAACCGATACGTGCACGGACAGGTGCGGTCCGACGGCGGTCGCGTAAGATTTTCATTTGTACCTCTCTCCGGGGACTAATGAACGAGTGACGCCTGTACGGGTGCGCGACGCCCGAGTGTATCGAATGGAAACACACCGACGGACGGGTAATTCCGACGGAATGCATGTCGGACGGCAGACGTGTCGACACAATTATCGTTTGTCCGCGTCCCGGTACGGATGCAAAATTAATTCTACGGGCGCGGAGTGCGTTGCGTATCGCGCGCTGCGCGTGTTCGTTTCGTCCGTGCGAGCACAACGGTACGCCGATTTCGACTTTCTTGTACCGCGGTAGCCGACTCGTAATCGTTTCGTTTTCAAACAATTCAAAACAAACAAGGGGACGGCCGGGAGTGCTCGTCGTGAGGTGTATAACCTATCTGCGTTATGCGCGACACAGATTCGCAAACCATATCCATAGCTCTGACTGAAATCCCGATTTCATGGGTCGCGTTGGCGGTTAAGAATATTTTCAGGAGTATAACAATGACTTCGGATTTTTTTTTTTTTTTTTTTTATGCGTTTTACAGACAAATTAACTTAACGAGATCTTATTCTTATTGTTATTTATTCTTAATATCTCACATCCGACTGTTGTAAACACGGAAACTGTTTATCTATTCAATTTCACTTAAACGTACGAACAACACAGAAGGGAATATTTTTTTGTGACCTTCGAGAAGGAACAATATTCACGTTATTCCCACAATAATGACAATTCTCGCTCTACTTTGTTCATTAATCATCAATCGCTCTCGTACTTCGTAAAACAAAAAGCAGTCATTCTTTGAGAAATAAACCACGTATCTTTCAAGTGACAATAAGATATGCGCGAGAATACAAAATTTTTCAAATTGGTGTTTGAACCGAAAAAACCAAAATCTATACATTTTTTTTTTATATATATAAAGAAAAATCTAATTTACTCACTTATAACGCGTAAACAGTGTTAACTAGTTTTTTGCCGTTCGTATTGAACTGAGATTTTATTTTTCAGTAACTATATAATTTTCGTAAAATCATATTAAGCTTAAATTGTGAAATGAAACGATACAATTTCATAAACGATATTAAATTAGTGCTATAAACCGATTTATATATTTTCTAAAATTACTACTGAATACAAACCGAAGAGCAACGTTATTGTAATCATCAATACATTTCTTTGAATACTGACCACAATATCATCTCGAAATTAATACTGTTCGATACACATATTCAAAGTCGGCTGCAGTAAGTTTACCATGTGTATCCAAATTACTAAAATTTGTGGACACCCAGCCACCAACAAAATCAATTTTTTTAATATGCGAAAACTTTTTTATAAAATTCTGTATATATATTATATACATAGACATTCGAACACGCAGCCACCCACTAAAATTATGTATATCCGTCGATACACTTCAAGTATAGAATAGCCGCCATTGTACATGTTTATAAACATTTATAAATGCTATCACATTTCTTCCGATCAAATAATAATAATAATAATATTAAGAGATTAATAACATTTCCTTAAAGATATATTGTTGATATATATATGGTATTTTATGTTGTATATTGCGTTAAACGTTTAATCTATTCGACTATTTTACTGTTAAGTGATTATCCATATTTCGAAAATTATAATAATTTTTTTCTTATTAATTTGACCGATTTTTGACCGACAACAATACTTTTTACCAACATAATGTATTGATTTAAGTCTCATTATGTCTTTCAAATACTTTTTCTTTCATTATTGCGAAACTAATTATCGTAAAATAAACTGTGTACTATAAAGGAAATTTGCCTATATAACGCGATGATCGTGGTTCGTCGAATTTTTGATGCGCTACTACAAAGAATACGATAATTGTCACGTTCAAATTTGATATAATAAATGTTGCACGTCCCTAATATCTACTTCGAATAGTGACCTATCCAATGGGTGAAATATATTTGATTTTTCGTGTGTATCTTACATTCATATACTTTGTTCGATAATGTATGTTTAATCATTTTGTTACAAAACAAAGTATCTGTAATTTGAAATAAACATTTAAAACCATTACGATTGCACTGAACAATAATAAATAACTAATAAACATGTTTTACATACAACCAGGAATTGAAACAAAATAATTGTTTAAATGATTTTGAAAACAAAAACTCAGGTTAAATGAACTCCTCAAATTGTCGTATGTATTGTCTATTGTGTATGTATTAAAAATTAATATTATTTTGTACGGTGTAGTAAACAGAATCTACTTGATCATAAATGCATCTACTATTGTATCATAGTATATTGTAAGGGGCACTTAATCTTTTTTGGGAAGTAGTGTTATCTATTTCATATTATAAACCCAAAAGTGTGATGATTTTTAATTCACCAACTGTATTTGCTAACCATTTTGTAACCACACTCCTATTAATACGTTTATTAAATTATGCCGACAAAGATTGATTCCACTTATAAATTATGATTATCCAATTATTATTTGTTCAAATTTAACGTCCATTAATCACTTGTATTTTTATATATATTGTATACATTGTATATGCTAACACAAATACAATAAATATTGATTCAGTTGTGTTGATATATTAACAACAACTAATATCATTATACTTATTAAATTTAAACCTAAGAATTACGCCATGAAATATTTTTAATAATAATAAAATTCGTAACTATTGTTAAACTATAGTTAACTATACTATCTGGAATAGTTCTTACAACATTTTCACATGTTATTTTCGTCCAGAAAACTCTTGATCACATATTTTTTTAATACATTTTCAACTCTTCATTGTATTTGACAACATTTAAAGAGACGGAAAAGTCGAACTTTAACAAATTTAACTTGAAATTCCCGGAAACGTTTGTTTTCACTAGGAATCAAAAATTTACCAAACTTCAATATAAGACTTAATCAAATATAACAATTTAAAGTTTTTAAATACAAAAACGTACACATTTCTTACACACGATTATTATTAATCTTTTTCTTACGGGAATTTGGTATTAATATAATATACACAGTATATTATAAACTGTATGAATGGCCAATGTACAAAAAAAAAAATTCAGAAAAAACTTTAGTTTAATTTATTTAAATTTATAATTTATTTTTCGATACTTCTAGTTTAAAATATATTTACTAAATCTTGACTTGCATAATTAAAATCAAAGTAAACTTTCAGAACATTCATACAATGTTATATAATAACAAGTTATCTACGTTGTTTAATTATCAAGTTTGAAATAGTGTAGCTTTTATAATATTCTTATATCTTACATTGAATTATTATTTAATTTTATATTATTATTGATATTGCCTATATAAAACCCCTTTAAAACTAAACATTTTTTGTCCTCTGACATATACATCTTACATTTTTAATATTTTATTCATATTATACTATGGATAATAATTGTTATAACCAATATCATAGTTCAGAATCCTATTTTTTTTTTATTACAATAATTATTCTATTGTATTGAAGTTGTAATATATTATTATATAAATTATTAATTATACAACACACGTTGTTACCAAAACGACCAGAATGAAACTGATATCATAATTTAGAATTTAAATATATTTTCGTATCTTCTTAACAAAACAAATAACATATTATACTCAACAAAAAATTTTATTTTTATAAAAAATAACGTTATTATAAAACAAATTGATAAATCAAGACAAATTTGATTAATATAATAATTTAAAATTATACCATTTTATTATATGGGTAATAATATATTATAATTCAAGTATACAAAAAAAAATTTAGAACAAATGTGCAAAACACCAACTAGTATAAGAAAACTATACATTAGTTTTTAGACCATTCACTTTTTGGTGTATAAAATTGTAATAAATTAATAATATAAAATAATAATAATATCCTTATATGGTATTGCATAGTGCGTATACGAAAAAAAAAAAACATTCACACCCCATTTCTATAAGCTTAATGTTATTCGATGAACGTTAACACCATTGTTGTTCGTTCTTAATAGTATTTGTAATAGTTAAAATAAAATTATTCTTATGAACATAAAATAAATTAAATATTTTGAATTATGAACGATTATCCCCAAGTATACCTAAGAATATAACAGCAAAATAGTTGTGTGACTATCTGTGTAAAACCCATATATTTATAATTACATAAGCTAAATCAAATTAATTTAAATTCTAAATGTATTTTTTTATTTATAAATTATTTTATACCTATTTGTCTCTTGGTTTCCCATTCCCCTTTGGATGTGATCTGATAACCATCACTGTGAATTATTTATATGATTTGGAGCGCCAATAAAATATTTTATTCATCGATATGGGAAAAATTAAAATAAAATAATATATTTTTACTCCACGACATTCATACTTTCTTGGCTATGGTAATTACGAACGCGTGGGTTTTTGGCTTGATTTTAACAGTATGGAACATTGATTTAAGCTTTACAAGACATTACCAAAACTATAAAATCATAATAAATAATAAATCACAAATAATAACAAGTAATAAATTATGATTTCGTTTTTGTTTAAATTATTTTCATAATAAGTAACGAAAAGTAAAATGTACCAGTTTTGGATTTTGATTTTTAAACAACGTTAAAAAAAACACCAGCTGTAAGATTTTATTTTTTTGTTACATACCATTAAGTTAAATGAACTCTTATTTCAAATATCTTACGAATTCGAAATCGATTTAATTTTTTTTTAGAAAAACAATGCGCACTTTTAGTGTTCATTCTTTCACTTGCAAACATTGTGATTTCGAGTATGGTGATCATATTTTGAACGTGTATAGAAGTATATTGAACAGGATTTCTAGCGGACCGTCGAATTATTCGCAGCCCCGCGCGTTCGTAGAGAGAAAGATGGAGTGAGGGATTGAGGGAGAAAGATAACTGTGAGGACGGAACTGGAAACTGCAGCGATGAACGTATAGGACCGGTATGCGGCTAAGTGTACTGTCCGGACTGAGACTGGGGCGGGTTGTACGACGAGTAGTCTTCCGACGTCTGGTGAATCCGGTATACCGGCATGGCGGGCGACACGATGTCCACCGTCTTCCGGGACCCAGGGTATCGTTCCACGTCCGCCGGGTACGCGTGAACGCCGGATATGTCGACCACGGCTTCGGCGCACTGCCGGTGCGGCACCACCGCACTCTCCTCCATCAGCGTGGCCGTCAGGTGGTTGCCGCCTCCCTTACCACCACCCCCGCCACCCTTCATGCAGTTGTAGATGGCCATGGCCAGCGCCACGCCGGCCGTCACCAGCGCCTTGCTCGACAGCGCCATAAGCGCGCTCGCGCCCACCGCGGCCATCGTGCCCGCAGCCCAGTACATGCCGTGGTGGTCCTTCTTTTTTCTACCTTAAAAACCATAAAGACACAACTTCAAATATAATATTATACTTTGACGACACGTGAATGGTGGTGAGGGGAAGAAAAATTCGCTTGGATTTGGGCACGGTCGGTTCGCGTTGTGCGTCAGCTGGAGGTCGGAATCGAAAAAAAACCCACTGCCGATACCCTATTCTATACAAATTATTTTAACTATTCTATAAACGTATTCCGGTAAATCACTTCGGGTCAGTTTTGATGGGCCACGAGTAAGGACACAAATCCGGCAAGTTTGGGCAGTTGCAACGCGTTCGCAGTGTTTCCGTGTTTATTTAACGAATGGTGTCTTTTACTTCGAATTTCTCCCAACTATTTGGGGTCAGCCACCATTGTCCTAAACCTCCACTCGTCTCGATTTTTTATATCCCCTACGCACACACCAACAGCCCTCATATCATTCTCAATCGTATCCAACCATCTCTTTTATGGTCTTCCTCTTCCTCTTTTCCCTTCACCGTTCATTTTCAGTACAACTCTTACTGCATTTTTTTCCTCTCGTCTCACCACATACCCAAACCATATCAGTCTATTTTCTCTCATCTTGTCCACTATGGACTCTACACCAATACTACGTCTCACATACTTGTTTCTTATTCTATCTTCTCTTGATACTCCACTTATCCATCTAAGCATTCTCATTACCGCAACACTCATACTCTGTTAATGCCATGACATCCATGCCAAAACCCCCGTCCTTTTGTATAAATTATCCAACATATATAAAACTTTCGATTTCCCCTATCACATCACCACTTATTGTCATTGTACTGCTCATAGTCTTGACTTCTTGGTATCTTTCTCCAAAATCATGTTCCGTATACTCCCTTTCCTTCAAGAGTCAACCTTCACTCATCCAACCTACTTCTTCCAGAGTTTCTCCTAATAAAACTATATCAGCAAATATCATACACCTTGGTATATTGCCCTGTATCTCTTAATTAACTTCATCCATTATCACAGAAGATGACTAGAGCTGACTTAATTTAACGGATGGTATAAAAATCAATTATAAAAAAAGACGAAAATTCTAATGAGACGGTCGGGTGAGTTGCAGGCATGGATGAATGGTATTGCAGTATCAGTCTTGAAATCAGTGTATAATTGGCTTCAAAAAATGATTCCCGATGATTCATAATAAAGCCGGTTGAAATTTTAATGTTCATATTTACGAAAAAATAACTATAAAATTATGGAAATTTGAAAGTTTCATGTCCAAATAATGACCGTAAACTGCATTAAATATTTTGAATTCATTTAACTAAATAATTAACACTATTAAATGGAAATTCATTAAATTTTTGGATTTTGTTAAAATTGCTATTTTTAACGCTGATAAATCATTTTTACTAATTTCAAGTAACTTTTTCTACTTCTAAAAATTGTTATGAATATTTTACTACAAAATTATAGTGTGTAGGCAAAAAAAAATGTAATGTTATATCAAAATTAATAATATTATGTATATGCTCGTCATTTATTTTTCATTAAATAAGTTATGTATAGATAATGAAATTTGTTTTGAATTTCCTAGACTTTTCTTCAAACCAAAATTATTTTAACAACAATTTCGAAATAAAATAAAAACATGACATAGTCAATTACCCTTTAATTAGGTAAAATTATCTTTGAAAACTATTCCAACGAAGCAAACGTTGATATAAGAATTATATTACATTTTATGTCTTGATTATTATTTTTTGAAATAAAAGAAAACAAAAATTCGCTTTTGCAGTAGTTGTTGTCGTATTTTTATAACTTCTCACTAAGTTTCTTGCAATTATTAATAAAACTATTGGTCTTCAATATATACCCTAAAAAAAAGTAAGTAGTAAATTATAATAATATATTCAAACTAAAATTAAGATCTTGACATTAACTATATGTCTATAAGTGTAAATAGCGTGCAAGTTTTAAGCCAACAATTGCCAAAACGCATAATCAAATATTCTAATAAAAAATTGAAAAATGCCATAAAAACAGCAAAATATGGCCTAAAAATGCATATTAAGTTAAATTTGTCATAAAATGCAAATAGAATGCAAAATAAAAACTACATTAAATTAAACATAGTCATTTATAACTCATTTTTTTCTTACGAACCTGTGTGTTGGGATATCGGAAATAAGATGCATTTACATCAAAATCCCAGCCCTAATTTTAACTATAAGACCAAAAAATGAGGTAAATATTCGAGCATATTAACTCGCTATGATTATAAACTCATACAAATAATTTAACATACCTATAAACACCACAACATGATGAATTAATTTACAAAAATGATAAGTAACCCAAATATTCAATAACCTGGATTATTGAAAACCGAAAAACTGTGATAGTTCAAAATCAATTGATATGTTTTTTCTTCGTAATAGTTTAACAACAAGTTATTATAAGAAACTATATTATCTTAATATTTTTTTTCATTTTTGGGAGAGATGCTTGTTTTACCTTTTTTAAACCCATGTTTTTTACTCGACCGAAATACTCTCATGTTCGCATTTCATAAATACGATTTCTATAATACTTATAACGTTTTCTATCTATAATATAATCAGCATGTACAACGTATACAATCGATGATATATTTTAATAATATCTACTGCTGAAGTATTATTCAATTAATTTGTATTCTCACGGGGGAGGGAGGAGAGGAACTTTCATTTGAAAATTCAAAGGTTTTTTTTTTAATTCGTTTTTAGTTCCCTTTTTATTTATATATATAAAAATTCAGTTGGCTCCGCGCAAGAAGAAACGGTATGACACGTTGATGATGCGTGTCTCTGGCGTCACGCCGATTTTAATTTATTTTTTCTTTAAACAACTGTACCTAATAAACCGGTTGACGGATAATATAATTGCCATACACCGAGTTTAATTTGTTTCCTAAATAATTTTGTTTCATTGTTGACGTACGAAAAATTCAAACGACTTTCACTCCACTGCATAATACAAATTTACCAATTACCGGACACAAAATCAATAATATGAGACAATGTGTACATATAATTTTATATTAAATAGGTAGTACAATAATGTCGTCTGTATTTCTATAGTAAGCATTTAATTTTATTGTAAATAAATTATGTGCACAGTGCGTGTCCTCGACAACATTTATGTTTTTTTTTTTTTTATAATTTCCAACCGCATAAAAAGTATGATTACACCCTAACACCATATATTTTTACACCTAATTAATGATTCAGTGTTATTATTTTAATGTTCTTATATTTATATTCATTGGACAATCGATAATTAACAATATTACGCTCTAAGTTAAAAAATAAAACCGTAAATACTCTATTAACATGATACGACCTTAAAATACGTCCGAAAATCGTTTTATTGAAATTTCGTGGAGACCGCAAGACGAACTGGATGCACTTACGAAATAAACGTTGCCGGTCGAAAGCGTTATAATGATTGTACGTATAATATTTTGAAAAAAAAAAAAAATACATTGATAACGAAATACGTTTTTTAACGATTATAGATTATAGATGGTCGCGAAAAATATATATGGAAGACGAGACCTGAAGGAGTTGTGGGCGAAACGAGATTCGAAATTCGTAACCGAAGGGCCACCGGACTCGTTTCACGACAACAACGCGATACCGAACGTCGGTGCTTTTCGTGGCCGACGGCCCAGCGCGTCGTACCGTTCCGTTTGGCTCGGACCGTTAAATCTAAACGCAACACCCGCTGGTCGTTCACAGCATTGCCAACAGTTTGGGCAGAACGTATCGCAGCGACTTGACGGTGATTAGTAACAATATGCGTTTGGTCATACTCATCCGGAGGAACGGCAGTATCCGCTCGAGCACGGTGTTGCTCACCGACCGGGCCGTCGTGTCGATCGGGTTGAGCAGCTTCACGCGCAGATCGATGCTGTCCACGTAATCGTTCAGCCGTTTGGTGATCAGCTGGTCCAGCCGCGTCGAGTTGGCCGCGTCCAACGACTCGTTGGACGGCGCCGCGCCGTCGCCGCCGGACGAACGCCGCTGGTAAATCGTGAAACCCGGATAGATCTCGTAGCTCCGTTCCGCGTCCAACGCGTCCAAGAACACCAGCACGTCCCTCTTGACGCACGTCATCGTGTAGTTGTTCGCGCACCGCACCGCCGCCGTCGTCGAGTTATCCTGCAACAGTCGCGACGCAAAAATAACATTTTACTAGTGAACTACGAAGTCGTTCAAGTGTAATACATTTTTTTTTTTTTTTCAAAAGATATAAAAAATTAATTTTCCAACTTCATGTTTTTCGTAATTTTATGTCATTCATTGAACCGTCCTGACGGTTTAACATTGTTGGCCGTCCACAGAGAAATCCCAATTGATGATAAAAAAGTTCTTGATATGATGGCTCAAAGATCAAGAAAACTCGATATTATTTTGTAAATTTAATATTTTAATTAACAGTATAATATCAACTATAATACTAACTATTAACTTTTATTAATATTAGTGTTGACGTTGAAGGGCCGGCAACATCATATAAAATGAATGGCGATCCTATGTATAGCTTTATGGTTGCGGTAGAAAAGTTTTTTGTACAAAGAAATATTTTAAATAAATTAAACATATAATATTAAAAATATAAAACCAATTACAACGGGTTTTTTTTTTTTTTATATTAACATTTTATTAAACTTCGGCTGCAATTTACAATTTTAGTTCCAAATTAAAAAAAATATATATAGTGATTTATACATTTTACATATAAAAAACATGAAATTGAGTCATCTGCTATGAATATATGAAAGGTGGCATCATCTTGGGTAATTGTTATAGAAATAGGTAAGAGGGAGAAATCTTTCGGATTAATATATAGCGGTCTTCGAAAACTAACAATATGTGAAAAGTGATCTGTGGAAAAATTATATTTTAAATTTGTGATCAGGGATGATGTTCTTATTTTAAAATCATGAAGTGCCTTCATAATAATATTGTAAGGGATCATTCGATAAACTTTTAAAAAAATTATTTTATTAGATGTTTTATCGAACTCTCTAATCGAGATTGTAGTATCGTTGATTTTGATTTTTAGATGTTTTTCAACTAATTTTTAAATGATGTTTGAAGGGTGGGTACATTTACTAATTGCTGTTAAGTATTCAATTTACTTAATACTATCTATTATTATTAGTACAATAGTTTAGTTTATTTTAAGAGTTCTATGGCTTGCCATTGTTTCAGGGGAGCTTTTTTTATTTTTCATTGTTTGTAAGTTTATAGCTTCGTTTATATTTTGATCTATTTGTTCGATGGTTAAGTTGGTTCTAAATGAATTTTTAGATGAATACTATCAATTTTTCACGAAGAGTATTGTTTTGATTGTTAGTGTTATTTGCATTTTGATAATCGTATGTTGGCATATCTGGAGTGTGGCGTTGGGTTGTCTATCGTATAAAATCGTGATTATCTACCCCGATTGATAATAAACCAGTGTTGTAAATAAAATCATATTACCCGTATGATGGCTGTGTGTGTAAACTGTACTGTACTATCAACAGCTATAAATCGATAAGAAAGGACAGTAAACAAAACAAACATGCTGCTCAGTCAACCGTCGAACGTGTACTGTAATTTTATTTTATTGTGTATCCAGATTAAAAATAATAAGAATCTATCACGGGTCTTTTTTTTTTTTTTTGCACTTTTCCAAAACTTCTATTTATTGCTTTAAACATTATACCATTGAAATCACTGAATTAATTATGGAAACCTAAATAAAAACGTACTCCACAATACCAATATTATCATCAAAAAAAAAAAAAAAAAAAAATTAAGGATATATTTTATCTCTAACAGCTATAGATAAATTAAACAATTATAAAAATGTAAAAGTAAAACGATGCCTATAATTATAACATAATTATTGATATATCATAGAAACATTTTAAATACACTGTACCAGAAAGAAAATAATATTTTACTTTATTATAATTATTATATAATTTAATCATGTTATGATTTTTATAAATTTCGCATAATGAATAGTGTAAATAATTGTGTGATCTCTAACGAGGAAAATGATTATCAGTATTTGAGGCAAGGGCGTGCCTAAAGAGGGGGGGCTATTGATTTCGTGTTTTTTACAATTTTTTTTTCTCAAGTCGTATACATCCATTCCATTATAAGAATTTATCTCGTATCGGTAGAAAGGACCATAATAATATTTTAATAGATACTTCTACGCAGTGAACGAACTGCGGAGACTGTAAACAGATATATTTGTAACACACCGTTGAACACGTCCAAGTCGTTATAATATATTAATACCATTTAGTGTGCAACACTGTGATGGTACGATCGCGCATCTCGAATCCAAGCTATAAAAATTTTATACGCACCACCGCCGCCGCACTGCAATAATTACGTCTATAGTTCTAGCCAACAGAAATGTTTTAGATACGCGTCTTGTACTTTTTTTTTTCCACTCGCGAATACCTACAAGGTTTGTTGAAAATACAAAACAAAAACAAGCATTTTTGTTTTAAATGAAAACAACATCAACACGGTACCTGATAGAAAATCACATTTTACTCGGGAACTTTTTTCCCATGCCTTAGCCTGACCCGTCGATATCACAACGATACTTGAGATCGAAAAAATTATATCAAGTACACTGAGTTAATACGATACAAAAAAAGAACTATAGCACAGTCCACCCAATATTTCTAATCATAATATATTATAATATTTAATAATAATATGAAATAAATACATTATTTAAGATTATAAATGTTTTTTTTTATTTTTTTTACCTAAAAAAATTAAATTTTTAATATTTCAATATTTCAAGTCATAAATTTGTTTTCTGGTGGACTAAGAAATATTTTCCTGTGTTAAAATCGTATTTATGTGTACCACAAGAGGTACATTTAACATTTTTAGGCAAAGACTCCCGTGTACCTATAATGGTACACAGAAACTTATCCGTAAAACAACAAGTGTATCAAAAACGGTACACGTGGTGCTTTTAGCAATGCACCGAAAAATGACGTGGCGCTTAACCTGTTGATTTATTTTGGTCGACAAATTACAATGGGGGATTATGGTATGCCGTATGTAGTGTGTACATTTGAATAATGTCAATATTATATTGCCACACATTTTTTTCGCTTATGTACATCAAATTTTATCTTCGTTGCTATTTTTGCCAAATCACATATAAAGGATAAATACGTTGAATAAGTATTGTAACTGACATAGCACACGACGAATCACGACGACATTCGTACAAACGTAATTCGTTAATGTTAGACCATTAGGTTGAGAGTAAAAATTTCTAGTTTTAGCTAATATTTTCGAGATCCGATCCAAAAACACACGGAAATCCTTTTACGGATAAACTTTCGGCACACTCCGGATCTACGACGGTTTTCACGGAGACGGATTATAATAACCGTCGGGCGTATTTCCTGCAGCGGTAACGAATGCACGGGTTGCCCGTCGTTACAGTAATTAATCGTTCAAAAATCAATCGTTACAAATCCGAAATCATCAACAAGTGCGCACCACCAACGACTCCTCCTGGGTTGAGCGTGAAACTCGACGGAGAAATGTGTGCATATTGCATTATATGCGATGAAAAGGTTATGCGCCGCAGATGTAGAGCACGTCTGATCCGTCACTAATGGCCGTATCAACAAAATGCAGGTCATTAAAGATAACAACAACAATAATAGGAATATTATTATTATTAGCAGTATTATTATTATATTTGTATAAGATATACGATAACGTAGGTATTGTGTAAACGTAACATTCCCTACGAAAAGGGAAAATCGTTTTATTTGCTTATTAGATATTATTTAGTCATTCATTTTCTTTTTCTCGTAATGAAATAAAAAAAAAAAAAAAAATGATAATACCGTATACCCGGTTAATGATTTCACGCGATTCGACTGTGTAATACGCACATCGTTTACACGTTTGTACACGTATTATGATGCGTGGCCAAGTGTATACGTGCGTATATAAATTTCGGTTCTCTCCGAAACGTTCTAAGCACGAACCGTTTTCGACATATGAGTACATGAATTTAAGTTGATTTATGATTACAAATTTTACTTGTTTTTAAACAGATCTGTTCAAAATAATCTTCTAAGTTATTCGACGTTTTTATAAGTGAAAATACTTTTTAGCACATTATGTAGTTAATTTGCTCCGACATAGGAATAACGAGTTATTTACACGATTATCATGTAATACTAATATTATTAGATGTCATAAAAAATATATTTATTTTCGATGATTCAATTCAAAGCTAACGCGTATATCGTTTGATGAAGCATAAATAATATTATAATATGCACAGTAAAATCACGTTTATCGTTGCATATTTCCATAATTCATAGAAAATTATAAGAACGGTAAAGTAATATAATAATACGTAATTTTTGTTTGTAATGCAGTCTATTGAGCTAGGATGAGTGAGAGTGGATTTTACTCGATTATGGTATATTAGTTCATTTATATTTTTTCATTATTATATATTGTATGTGTAGGTTCTTAAAATGTCCGTATCGTTTTTTCGATTATTTATATATTATAAGATTTACCTATTTAGAGAGTATTTTTTTAAATTGTTGTAATGCTTGTATAGCTGCTTATGTGAACAAATATACGGTACGGTATCACTAAAAATTAATCATAAATTCTCACCGAAATGTATACAGTTTATGTACGAATATTATAATCATATTTTTACCATTGGTGATCAAAACAATATGTTTATACATTTTTTTTTCGAACACAGACATTTTTTATTCCGTTAAAAACTTGTAATTCATCATTGTAATTTTACACTTCAGAAATTTAATTTATACTCATCAGTATTTTTCGAAGTTTATATTTTAATGTTACAACATTATGGCGTTACATCTTTATAATAAAGTAAATTCAACGCGATTTGGACTTCTAGCCTCATAGTATAGGAATTTAATTTACTCGTATAATAGATTTCATAATCATTTTTAAAATTTACCTGCCTTTTAATTTAAGAGTATTAAAGTCATTTTAATCAAATTTTCAACTTTTCGTTTTAATAACTGGAATATTTTTGAAAAATATTGAAAAAGTACAGAATCACTATTATTCATATACTGACTACTTAGCTGATTTCGATTGGTATT